AAAAGGTATTCTAGCTTTTAATATTCTCTACGTTCTTTTCGATTGAGTTTTTTCGCTATTTTACTTTGTTATTCTTTTAGTTTTGTTGTGTGTGTTTTCCTATCTGTGAAATCCAGGGGAGGTATGTCTAAAAATAGTAACTGGATTAATGGTTTCCGGGGGCACGGCAGGGGAGCTTGTGGGGAGGGGGGCAGGTGAGGGGCTAATAACAAGGACAAGAAAGCAGAAACAGTTCTCAATCAAGTCAATCGCCAGGCCTTTCTTTTGAGGGTCTTTAGACAGGCTTGAGCTGCCACCTTTCCAGTTAACAGTGGCGTCTGCATTAATCTTTTCCATCACCCGGGAAGGAGGGAGAGATTAGCAAGGCCCGCCTTCCACCCCACCCCACCCACTCAACTACCTTCTGAGCCCAGCTCCGCCCCTCTCACCACTGGCTTTGCGTTCATGTTTTATCTCCGCCCAGAGGTGTGTTGACTCCTGCGTACACTTCTCCATTTGTTGCTCTCCGCGTGCCACGCGGTCGCATAACTGGAAGAGAACGAGAGGGAGCCGAGACTGCCCGGTTGAAGTGTAGAAACGTGTACCAAGTCAACCCCGCAAACGCAGCAGCTCTACTCAACTCTCCAAGCCTGATCTGGTGTGGTGTGACTCGGAGCGCGGGCTTGGGCCGAGGGAGGGGGGTGTTTAAAATGGCTGGTTGGGTTGGGGGACAAGTGTTTCTCAGGGACTTTAGATTTTCTATGACTGTATTTGGGTCGATCATGTGGTATCGTGGTTCCGTGTTGCTCGGCGGTTCGAAATCACCAGCCGATACGCGGGAGAAAAATGGGGCTTTCTACTCCGGTACCGAGTTCCGTCTCGGAAACTCGCAGGGGCAGTTTTACCCTGTTTTATAGGATTGCGATGAGTTGGCATCGACTTGATGGTAGTGAGTTTGGGGTGGGGGTGGTTTGGTGTGGTATGATGTGATTTGGTTTGCTTTGGGTTGGTTTGGTTTGGGTTGGGTTTTGAGCAGTAACGGGGAAGAGGTGATTGAAAGATATTTGCTGGGCGGGAGGAAATCAGTGGTTGACTGCCCTAGGTGAGAACTGAGTCTTAAACTTAGGTTCCAACCCCAATCGTGGGACAAATACTGTATCAGACCCTGGTTATAAAAGAAAAAAACCAAGATAAAGCTCTTTCATCCCAAAAGACACAGATGTGGCTAGTTCCCACGGATCGGAAAGGTAAGGAGGAAAGAGAAGCAGGTGTTAACTCAGGTGAACGGGAGGGTACTACCCTATAAGAGGAAGAAGACACAAAAAGGGGGGGATGGGGCAAGCTATTTGGAGTTTTGATAAGTTATATTAGGTTTTTGAACCATACATAATGATCTGGAATGTAAGTCCCAATCTAGTACAATATACAAGGTTGATTTTTTTTTAAGGGAACAAGAGGATTGTTTCCTTGGCCTAATCTAGGAACTACATTCAGGGAAGGTGTTCATTCAGGTCAGATAGGCCTAGGCTGTGAGGCCTGGTGGTGTAGCGGATGCTCATTGGGCTGCTAACCACAAGGTCAGCAGTGCAAAACCAGCAGTGCTCTATGGGAGAAAGAAGCCCTGGTGGCACCGTGGATGAAGCATGCAACTGCTAATGAGTTTGAACCCACTAGCCAATCCAGGGGAGAAAGATCTAGCAGCCTTAGAAACTCTGGGGCAGTTCTATTCTGTCCTGTATGGTCAATATGAGTCAGTTCGGCCACAGAGTCAATGGGTGACAAGCGTTAGCAAAGGGCATTGTTAGTTCAGTGGTAGAATTCTCACCCCCATCGGGAATTAGTAAGGTTGAACCCCAGCTCGTAGGGTTTGTAGCTGAGCACTTAGCCAATAGGCCGCCAGGGCTCCCTGCATGCAAGAAACCTGGATGTAATTCCCAGCCATTGCATCTTGGCAGAACTTCCAGACTAAGAAGGAGTAAGAAGAAAGACTTGGTGATCTAATTTTTTACATCGACCAATGCAAACTCTAGGGATCTCAACTGCCCCACTGGCGACTGGTCAGGAGTCTGGCACAGGACCGTGCACAGGTTCTTTCTGTGGTGCACGGGGTTGCCAGGAGTCAGAAGGTCTGACTTGACAAGAGCAAAAGTCTGTTGAAGACAAGGCTGCCTTTAGACTGAGAAAAGAATGTGATCGTGGTGGAATCATTATTTCAACTTCTAAAGGGAGCCTCTCTGGAGCAAGTTTACTTAAGTGTTGGACCATTTTATCTGGGACCACTGGCATCAGAATGTGTTGGTTTGGTTGTGTATGTGTGTGTGTGTGTGTGTGTGTGTGTAGGGGGCAAGTGGGTAGTTGTGTTTGTGGCTTTTTCCATTTTTTGCTTAGTGGGAAACAAACCCAGTCTTAAGAAATACATTTCCAAAAGAAAAAAGCATTTGAAAGGAAGAAGTCAGGAAGACCCCCTTGGGCTTCTCTTTATACCTCAATACCCCTGAGAGAATGGGGAGTCATTCATGAGAGAACGAGAGACCATGTGACCCCCATCTGCACCAATCAGGTGGAAGACTGCACTTAGAGACTGAGCGCTTTGTCCAGACCAGTGTGCGTTCCTAGTGGGCCCCCATGCCAGGGTTCTCCTCAAAGACTGCAGCAAATTTATCAACATCAAAGGATGAGAAACCACTCCATGTTTGCAGATGGGGTCAAGAGGAGGAAAGCAATATCTTGGATGGATTTGTGCACATGGTACCAGAAACTCAAGCCAAGTGTTGTCCATTCTGACTCACAGTGGTGACTCCATGTGCGGACTGCTCCACAGAGTTTTCAAGGAGATCACTAGGCCTTTTCTTCCAAGGCACCTCTAGGTCGATTCTAATCACCAACCTTTGGTTAATAGCCAAGTGCTTTACCATTTGCACCACTTTATCAAAAACCAAACTCCTTACTATTGGGTCAGTTCGACTTCTAGTGACCCTACGAGGAGCCCTGGTAGCATCATGGTTACTTACTGGGCTGCTATCTACAAGGTCAGCAGTTCAAAACCACCAGCGGGGCTTTCTACTCGGTAACCCTCAGGGGCAGTTCTACTCCGTCCTGCAGGGTCACTCTGAGTCGGCATTGACTTGATAGCAATGCGTTGGGGTTTGTGTTAGAGTGAGCCTACAGGAAAGCGTAGAACTACCCCATAGGGTTTGCAAGACTGCCGATCTTTTTTTTTTTTTCTATGTTGTTTTCAGATTGGCCCAATATGGCTCACATTTGAAAATCAAGCAATTTTTTTGTTGTTGTTTTTTGTTCCAGGACAACATCTTTTTTTTAAATCATTTTGTTTGGGGCTCATACAGCGCTTATCACAATCCATACATACATCAATTGTGTAAAGCGCATTTGTACATTCTTTATGGAAGCAGGCTGCCACATCTTTCTCTCACAGAGCAGCTGATGGGTTCGAAATACTAACCTTTCAGTTAGCTGAGGAGTACTTAACTATTACACATCCAGGACTCCGTGCCACCTTAGGCACTTCATAAATATTAGTCAAAGAATGAATTCATTTAGGCAAGGGTTACCTAACTCAGCAGGGCACTAGGGTGAATTTACATGCTTATGCACATGCACTTCCTCCTCAGTGTTGAGCACTGCTCCATTGACTGCTCTTTCCACCTTGAAAATGCAAGCTGTGTTGGGCATGTTTGATGCTGTGACTCTTCCTTCTTTTGTCACCTTCTGACCTGGTCTCTAAACCCTTGTTCTTAGTGCTGCTCTCTCTTCTCCCCAGGGCCCTGCCTGCCACTCCTTAGGAGCTAAACGGCATCATTAGGATGTCTGTGAGGACCTGGGTTACCTTAAGGAGAGAAATGTGGCCAACTGGAATGACACTCTCGTTTCTGTTTGCCCCCAAAACTATGTGTCCTCTTTGTTCTCAAAGGGCTGCCACCTCATATGTGGTGCTGACTCTCATGCAGCATGTCAGAAAGATGTATCTTACACCCGCAGACGGCCTTGTTTCCCTCAACAGATGAATGGAGAAGCAAACTGTGGTATATGTACACACTGGAATATTATTCAGCTGTAAAGTAAAATGAAGTCCTGATGGACCTTGAAAACATTATGTTGGGCGAGAAACACCCGGCCCAAGGAGACAAGTGTCATGTAGTCTCACTTGTATGAAATAAGCAAAGCTAGAGAAAGCAGCGTGATCAGTGGTTACGATGGGTGGGAGAGAGACGGAAAGAGGGAATTTTTGCTTAGGGGACGTTGGATTTCATCTCACTGCCATCGAGTCGGTAGGACTATCCCTGTGGGTTTCCAAGACTAATGAGCAGCAAACCTCCTCTCTCTCCATTGGAGCAGCCCAGCGTGTAGCCCACCACGCCGCCAGGGCTCTTCAAAGGGCATTGAGTTTATGTTAATGGTGGTGAAGTGATTGGAAAAAGGATCGTGAGAATGCTTGAACAACTTGAAGAAAGGAATTCAGTTCATGAAAAAAAAAATTCTAGTGCTTCCTAAACATTGGGTTCCAACAATGACAATATGTTTCAATTCTGAAAACAAGAAGGGGGAACCAATCACAAGGATCTACATATAATCCCCGCCCTGGGGGGCAGATAACAGGAAAGCGGGTGAAGGGAGATGTC